CCTATCTCTCTGAGGGACAGCAAAGTATTTTCTCTGTGTGCTCAGGTTGCCCTGCTTTTGGACACTACAGCACTCTCTGCTATAGAGCTGGGCAGTCTGCAGCTCTTGCAGTTTTTGCTGCAAGTCATGCAGCAGTTTCTGCATGCAGTCTCCCAGGCTCTGCAGGAACCCAATGCCCAGCCCCCGTTGGGGACCCTCCTTGGGTCTGTGCAGGCACCAGCAAAGTATTTTCTCTGTGTGCTCAGGTTGCCCTGCTTTTGGACACTACAGCACTCTCTGCTATAGAGCTGGGCAGTCTGCAGCTCTTGCAGTTTTTGCTGCAAGTCATGCAGCAGTTTCTGCATGCAGTCTCCCAGGCTCTGCAGGAACCCAATGCCCAGCCCCCGTTGGGGACCCTCCTTGGGTCTGTGCAGGCACGGCGGGCCACCCCCCTGCCTCTCCGCCTGGCCCCCCTGGGGGCCATGGAGGAGCTGCGGCGGCGCCCCGGCACCGGCGTGCCCCGCCGCATCTGGACACCAGTGCAGACTGGTGGGGCCACATTGTTTTGGAGCACTGGGAAGACCAGCAAAGGCTTCAGAACTTTAGGATGAGGAAGGACATCTTCATGGAGCACTGTGAGTGGTTCGCCCCTGCTCTGAGGCAACAGGACATGAACATGAGACCTGCCATCCCCCTCCAGAAGAATGTTGCCATCGTCCTCTGGAAGCTCTCCATACCAGATGGCTACTGATCGGTGAGGAACCAGTTCAGTGTGGGGAGATCGACTGTTGGGGCCCTGGTCATGCAGGTATGGCATTCTCGGGCTATTGTCCTGGGGAGAGTGGGGGGAGGGGGTAGAAAGATGGAATAGGCTTCCCTAGAGAAAGGGGCGTGGATGTGGGGGTGGTGAGGGTGCAAGCCCCCTCACAAAACCGTGCCTTGGGCTGGGGTGATTGGAGTGGGTTGCTTCTGGTGAGTGGGGGAGGGGAGAAGGGGACTGGGGGAACTCTCAGGCACCCTGGCACCTCTGTGATTCTCTGTTTGTCTCCTTCTGCAAGTGGTCAGGGTCAATCAACACCATCCTGCTGTGAAGAGTCATCTCCCTTAGAGACGTGGACGCCATCATCACTGTGTTTGCCAACATGGGCTTCTCCAGTTTTGAAGAGGCTATTGACAGGACCCTCATCTCCATCCGTGCCCCAGACCACTGAGTATCACTTTACATCAACCACAAGGGATATTTTCAGTCGTCCTGCAGGCCGTGATGGACCAATGGGGACAGTTCACCGACATATATGTTGGGTGGTTGGGGAAGGCGCATGACACAGGTGTCTTCAGGAACTTGAGCGTGTTCCAGAAGCTGCATGTCGCAACTTTCTTCCTTGACAGCACCATCAGGGTCAGGGATGTGGAGATGCTCATCTGCTTGGTGGGGGATGTGGGCTATCCTCTGCAGCCTTGGCTCATGAAACCCTACACCAGCCACTTCAATCTCTCCAGAGAACGATATAGGTTAAGCAGGACCCGCATGGTTATGGAGGGTGCCTTTGGTTATTTGAAGGCGCGCTTTAGACGCCTCCTCATCTGTCTGGACCTCAGGGAGCACAAAATCCCACATGTGGTTGCTGCGTGTTGTGTCCTGCACAACGTGTGTGAGAGGAAGGGGGAGGCCTTCCTGCCAGGGTGGGGGGCAGAGGCTGACCTCATAGGCAGCTCCCATGAGCAGCCCGTGCACAGCTGCCATCTGGCAGGCCCCACCGCCCTTTGGGGGAGTGTGTGTATCTGGGAGGCCCTGAGGGAGAGCTTCTCCTTGGGGGCCCAGTGACACTCTCCCTTGGGCTGCCCCACTGGGAGCTTCTGCGTCACCCCTCACTGCTGTCCCTCCACTAACCCTTCTTTTTCTCTTTCCCCTCTTTCCTGATGAAAAAATAAAGGACACATTTGTTTTTGAAAAACTAAAACCTCTGTATTTTTATGTGGGACCAAAGAAACTGGGGAAAGAACCTGGGAGAGGAGAGGAGGTGGAAGAAAAGGGGTGGTGAGGACCTGTGAAGGGGAAGAGGGGTGAGGAGAGGCTCAGGACTGGGGCTGGGAGTGGTGTCAGGCTCTGTTGAGGGTGGGGAAGGTGTTGAGGGAGAAGCGGGAGAGGGAGGAAGAAAGGGAGTGGGAGAAGGAGCTACAGCAGAAGCTGGAACAGGCATCATGTTCTGCACAAGGGAGTGGACAGCTGTGCACATGGAGCGGCCCTATGTAAGCAGCTTCCACCAGCTCTCCCAATGCAGCTGCAGGTCCTCGGGACCAGGAGGCTGTCCCAGGTGGTGCTGACCACCCCTTCTCTCACAGCTGGTCTGGCTGTGGAGAACAAAGATAAATGGTCAGTAACCTAGGGGATACAGTGCCTGAAGCCCAGCTCCCATCTGTGAGCTATGAACAACAGTTCTCAGCTCTGTCACAGGTGATGTGCTTGAAGAAAGGCCATGTGCACTCTGGCCAGTGGGCCCAGATGTCCACGGTACAATAGCACAAGGGTCCTCTGTGGCAGCCTCCTGGGGCTGTTTGCCCAGAAGAGGTGTGGCACATGCTCTCACATGCACAGGCTGCTATGCAATCTGTGGGCAACAAGGGCCAATGTGAAGCGCCCATCTTCCTCCTGCCCCAGCCATCCCCTCCACCCCTTGTACGAAGGGAAAGCGATGGCACTCACATGATTTACCTTCCCCAGCCTCAGATGACACCTGGGACACATCCTCAGGGAGACTATCAGGCTTCTGGGTCAGCTGGGTGGAGATGCTAGCCTCATCCGGGTCCTATTCCTCCTCCTCGTCTCTCCCCCCCCGAGTAGGACGATGGGCGTCTTGAGCCTGGAGTCTACAACTGTGGGCGAGGAGTAAGGTGGGACTGTCCTACCCTGCAGGATGTGGTCTAAGTCTCTGTAATAAGGGCAGGTGTGGAGCTTGCCCCAGAGTGGGAGTTTCCCTCCCTGGCTCTGGCATATGCCTGGCGGAGCTCCTTTTCCTTCATCCGCACCTGTTCTTGGGTTAGTATGTATCCTTTTGCAGCCAGGCTGTCAGCCATCCACCTATAGACTTTCACATTCCTGCATCTGATGCGGAGATCCTGGAGGTTGGTCTCATCACCTTAAACCTCAATAAGTTCCAGGATCTCTGCAGCAGATCAGGAAGGTGCATGTCTTTTTTGGTCCTTGGCAGGCTCTTGATAGCTGTTTGACTGCTCTGTTTTAATGATGGGGAAAGTGAGGCAGAAAAATTAAGATTTGCTTAAGACTCAAAAAAACATGTGGCAGAGCCTCTCATGCACACAATGCACAAAGACAATGGCAGAACAGCAAACCACATTAGATAAAACTAGGCATGTAAAGTGTTAACAGGTTACCTGGTAAGCATTGCTTTACCGGCATGCTTACCAGTGTAACCGGTTGACTGGCACTTGGCTTAGTGGAGCAACCCACTGCACCCTGGGTAGATTGCTGCTGCAGCCCGGCCAGGCATCCTTGCCCGTGGTGCGACATGGCGGGCTGTTTAACGGGTTAAACATATAATTTAATTGGTTAACGTTTTAAACGGGATTTTACATTCCACATAAAACACCATACAAATCAAAGAATATCTAGGACTTAAATACATACAGGCTGCATCTAGACTGGCATGATTTCACGCAAATACTTTTAACGGAAAAGTTTTTCCGTTAAAAGATTTGCACAAGAGAGCATCTACATTGGCACAGATGCTGTTGTGCAAAAGACATCTTTTGCGCAAAAGCATCCATGCCAGTGTAGACGCTCTCTTGCACAAGAAAGCTCTGATGGCCATTTTAGCGCAAGAGGGCTTATCCCTGAGCGGGAGCGTCAAAGTATTTGCACAAGAACCACTGATTTTGTACAGTACAAAGTCAGTGTTCTTGCGCAAATACTCGCGGCCAGTCTAGATAGGCGGCAAGATTTTGCACCAAAGCAGTCGCTTTGGTGCAAAATTTTGCCAGTCTAAACGCAACCACAGAGTTCTCTCCAACACATCCAGAGTGCAAAATATAGTGTTTACTTTCTGTATAACTATATTCTGTCCTACTGCTATTTATGATATACTAATTCTTTATATTAGGATTTTCTGTAATCCTAGCAATGAATTCAGTTCACAACCCTTTTTGATTTTGTGATCCACTGCTTCTATGATATACATTCACATTTCAGAGAGTGCTTGAAGGAAGTAAGACATCTGAACAGCATCTATTCGAGGGTTTGCCTAAGAAGCTCCGAAAACTAAATTAAATCAGCTGATAAAATCTCAACTGAACTGCATTTAAGCAAGTAGCAGAGTCATAAGCTAAAAAGAAATGTTCAATAATGCTGATTCCCCCCTCTCCCTACTCCCCACATTCAGTGAACTGCAAAGAGAGCATGAAAAACCTTCATTAAAACCAAGATCAGTTTGGAGACGTTTTAAGAGAATGAGGGTAGAACTTCTGAAAGTTACCATAAGTAGAGCATCAAGACACAAGGGCTATGTCTAAACTACATTCCTCTTTTGAAAGAGGAATATAAATGAGACCTATCAAAAATTCAAATGAAGCGCAGATTTACAAATCTCGTTACAAATCCGTGTGAGAGCACTTTTTCGAAAAAAGGTTTTTCAAAAAAGAAACAGCAGTCTAGACAGTGTTCTTTTGAAAAAACAACAGCCCCTTGTTCGAAAGAACCCGTACACCTCATTTTTTCAGGAGTATGGGTTCTTTCGAAAAAGAGTTTGATTTTTTTTTAAAGAACCTTGTCTAGACTGCGGTTTCTTTTTTGAAAAACCTTTTTTCGAAAAACCATTCTCATGCGATTATGCAAATGAAGCATGAGATCTGTAAATCCACGCTTCATTTGAACTTTTGATTGGCTTCATTTATATTCCTCTGTTGAAAGAGGAATGTAGGTTAGATGTGCCCAAGCAGTTAAAGGAAAAGGAAAATAATTTTTAAAAAGGGTTGTTTTGTGATGCTTTGGTTTTTGTTCTTATTACCTGGGGATCTGTAAATAATAGTCCTGTATCTTTATGTTTTATTATTGCTGCATTCCCAGGAATATTCCTTGCCAGCACTGGAACATCTAAATCCATTGCCTAAAGAATGTGGAAAAAAAGAAGATGTAGTCAGTTAGGGCTTGTGATGAGAAATAAAAATACAATCAAAGTATGAAACCTGTTCCAAAAACTTCTCCTCTCCAAATTTTTTTTAAAACAAGGATCTATGGGAGGCCATATTAGCCACTTTATGGAACCATGTGAAACCATAAAACTTGTCATGTTGGTTCTGGCAATCAGGACTTATCACTTTCAAAATAATATCTGAAATAGCCTTTTTCTGCCCATCTGGCAGGTCACTGGGTGATATGTTCACCTTTCTCAAGGCAGGTATTCAGAGTAATCAGGGTGTGTTGGCCCAGGAAGAGGCTGAAACCTCCTAGAAATTCCTAGCATGCAGCAGGACATGAGGAGTTAAAACTAAGATCTAGATTGAAGCCTGTCACTTTTCCTGCCACAGTTGACATCCCACGGAGTTGAACAGACACAGTTCACAGCTACCCTGAAAGGACTAATTCTCCCCTACATATGGCTCTTTGTTCTCTCCATAGAAGAAGAGAGAAATTATGATCCACGTAGCTCCCAAAATCTTTACAGGAAATCCTCTAGAGGCAAGGACATCCAAGGAGTCTGTCCTATTGGAACAATTTTTATAATGGGGGTGCTGAAGGTAGACACAATATGTTTGGATTGTTATTACTACTTCAGGAGAGCACATGTAGCTGCAACCCCCAGTTCCATGGAAATGCCTTGGCCTCTTCTCTGCTGCCCTGGTTCCCACAGGCCCTTGTTAAACATGCCTCTGTTTCTACATTGTGGCTTCGCTTAGATCGCACTCTCCAAAAGAGGGTTCCAAGCACAGAGGAGGGCAGATGGCACAAGCTAATATAGCTTCTAACGATAATCAGATTCCTTCAGGAGTTCTAAATTTTTTTTGTTTTTGTTTTTATATAAAATATAAACACACAATGAAAAATACAATAAGAATGCAATATACATAGACTATAAATAAAATAAATTAAAAGTTTCTTGTTTGAAAAACTTGGAAAGAAACAAACCAAAACCTGAACCCACAGAGGTCATTGCAAGGCAACAACTATTAAAGTGACTACACAGATAAGTAAGTGTGAATACAGCCTATGAATACTGGGGACAATTATCTACTAAACTGCACAAGTGTGCAATAGTTTCAAGTGTGACCAACTTCATATTTTTTCCAGGCATTTCTATTAGTCATTTTTCCATTAATGCTATAGTAGAGAACTCACTAAGCTTGGCAGTGTACAAGGGAAGCATTGCATATTTCCATTTTCTCAAAACTAAAATAGTTATCTCAATCCAAGAGTTATGTGGAGAAGAATCTGTTCCTTTAACAGCCACAGAATCCCAAAGTCTAGGCTTCTGAAAAGTCAAGTAGAATGTTGCAGAAGCAGAAAAGCGATCCCCTCATGTCGTTGCAGACACCCTTCTAAAAAAAACACATACCCAGGGAGCATGGAGTATTAAGCTTATTCTCATATCATTTCAGGCTGTCTGTAGATTGAGGAGTACAGAGACAGCACCGCATGAGTTTATCTCCAGTAAATCATCTCCATAATAAAGATAAGAGCTAGAAAATTTTGAACAAAAGTTTAAGTCTACAGAACCCAGTGTGCAAAGCCTAGTCACCCAAGGAAAATCCCTACCCACCGCCTACTCATGCATTTGTCAAGCCCTGATGTGAAATTTTAATTATCAATGTGGGATTTGGAAATCTTGAAATACACAAACCCTGAATGTATAATGGCTAATCTCATACAATTATCACAGTGTCAAACAAAAAACAAATTCACTCTCCAAAATGTACAATCTATTTCATACTGATTCACTGTCACTTTGGAGAGAACACATTTTTAATTATTGTCATTATAGTCTCTGATGGAAGCAATTTTCTGTCAGCATAAGTAGCATGAAAAAGCTAAATGGGGAAAGAAGTGAGGAAGAAAAATGCTTCTTTGGTTTGTAAATCTGGACAAATCTTTATACCCCAGCCACTAGCGTACAAACCCAACGGCAAGTTGACAAGTAAAGGAATGCAGTGGCCTAGCAACATGCATTCATAGTTTAAAATATCCAAGGAAAACATAGTTAGTGTAGAGAAATTTAGACTAGACATATAAAGCCCATCAACTTGCTGATGCTACAATGCTTTTCAGCAGATTGTTCTAAAAAGCCTATTAATAATCCTTAATGACACAGGCATTCTAGTCTAAATAGTGAGCCAAATGGAGATAATTCTAAGCAACAGATTCATGAGAAGAAATTAAATGGTCTAAAAATCTTGGATAAATGAGTATGCATAGATTTACATACTGATTTAGGCACCTAAAGACACAAATAGATGTAGAGTAGGGCTACTCAATATGCGGCCTGTGGACCGCATGCAGCCCACAGGTGAAAGCCAGAACAAAAAAGTAGTCAATGTAATGGTATTCTGCTGATACGCATTTTAGTAGTTAAATTCCTAGACTGCCATTGCTCATTAGAAGTGCTGTCAAATGGGTGGAAATGGGGTAAATATTGTGTTTTATTAATATCAGCAGAACTGACTTAAATGGGGCCGGTGTGTTGTGTAGTCTTGCCTTAATCTTTTTATTCATGCCTGTCAGTGTGAATTTGCATATATGTTTGCATGTATGTGCAACCACACTTAACTTGTAGCCCTTGGCATGTGCTGTGAGTACCACAGTAATCCCCGGGCTTCCAAAGTTGAGTAGCCCTGGTGTAGAGGGTGATTTTCAAGTGAAAGTCAATGGAAGTCAAGTGCCTAGGTCACTTAAGTTCTATTGAAAATCTAAAGCATTAGGTACCTAAATACCTTTGTAAATCTGGTCCTTTGCATATGATGGGGAATAGGATAACTATTTCCAGTTATCCAGTTATGTAAACAAGGTAACCAATTGAGATGAGTTCAAGACACTAATTTAGACCTAGGTTCCTTAATAACTCTGATTTTTGTTGTTGTTCTGTTTTTATACTGTGGCCCTCAAGGCCAGGATTCAGAAAGGACTACAGATTGCTTCTTCTATCAAAGAACCATACCATCAGTTAGCCTGTTTGAAGTCTAGGGAGGGAACGCTATATGATAACAACTCCAGAAAAGTTTCCTCACCCCCTGAGGATTACGAAGCCCCAGGGAACACTGCTTTCCCAGAAAGTTAGAAGAGAATAAATGTTAAAAGCACCATCATTTTAACCAAATAGGCTCATATGGCTGGCTCTGGAAAATCAGGACCAGCTTAGTGACAGGAAAAATCATCTCTCAAATCTATAACAGGAACCAACACAAAAGCAATTAAGACTAGTTGACAGTGGACATTTTTTTCAAAGAAAGTATTTGTTGTGTAACCCTTAGGGTCCAGTTCTGTACTGTCTTGTGTCTCCTAGATTTCAGTGGGGGAGATAAGCACAATGCAGTACTTGGCTCTGTAAATTTTATATTTCTCCTTCAATTTAAAAAAAATGCCACAATGCTTCAAAAGTAACTTGACTACTTTATGTAGATTTTTTTCGTATGAACAAGACTACATTGGATACACTTCAGAGGCCAAGACATTTCCTTTAAAATTAAATTAAATGGAAAGATTTTTTTTTTTCTGAATTCCTCTCAGTGCTCTAGAATGGGCTGTTGTGACTGCCTGCTATCCATACATTGGGGTAGGCAGGACAGATAGGAGAAGTAAATTAGGCATACTAAACAAGAGGCCATCACACGCCACTCGATACATGAATAATGATGACCGACTCAAGGTACTAGTGCCCATAGTAATTCTGCCTTAGGTTGAGTTTAGTACTGGGAACTTGTACATGTATTGCAATATTGCTGCACCACAGTCTGGAAGTGTTCCCTCATTATTATGCACTTTGCTATAGTACAGTTATTCATTTCTTTCTCCATATGCCACATAGGCTGCAGCTTATTAAAAATGGCCACAAAGGCCCAGATCCTCAAAAGTATTTAAGCATCTAACTCTTACAGAAAACAATGGGATATAGGCACCTACAAACTTTTTGTTAATTTGAGCTTTAGTTTATAATTCATTTCTGAACCCAGTGGAGAAAGAGATGTATAGTGCTTGTTAGTTGGGGACTGAGGCTGATAAATGCAACATCTGAAAAACTTGGAGCCTGGAATCACATAGGCATTTATGTACTGCAGCCATTGAAAGATACAACAGATGGCCAAGTGGATAAGACAAGGAATTGGCTTTGCACCAGCCAGTCTTACACAAATGGATTATGCTGTAAATAATTGCTATATCAAGTAGTCTTGAATTTAATTTAGACATTTATTCTATTTTTAAGCTGTAAAGAGAATCATTTGTATTGCTGGAAATATATAATTACTGACCTGGGATCTGTCAATAACAACTTAATGTAAAAGTTTATGCTGATGGCCCTCTCTTTTGTTACCTTATCCTGACAATATGTTTAAGAGCAGTTTGAGACAGATACAGGATGTAAAGTTAGGCATTACACACATGCAAGTATGGAGGGGGGAATTGTGGATTTTATTAATTGTATGGTCTTTTTTGGGAGTCCTTCATTTGCTGCCTCATAGTCCTTCTTGTCTGTGTCATTTTGGTATCTCCACACTTCTTACCTACTGTCTTCCAGCTTAATTTTTTCTTCCTTAGCTTTCTGTAGGTTGTTCTAAAGCAGAAATCTGGGCTTTTGGACTAAGAGTAAATCTGTACCACAATATAGAATATTGGAGCAGGGGTGGGAAACCTAAGGCCCAGAGGCCAAATGTGGCCCTCAGTTTGTCTTGATCTGGCCCCTGAAGCCCACACTCGTTCTCCATTCCCCTGGCAGCTCCACCACGGGGCTAGAGAACACAAAATCTACAAGGATGGGCCCCCCAGGTGCTGCTATGCTAGGGGAATATGGCAAATGTCTTTCTCCTTCTCACTTGGAGTGTACTTCAGAGAGGTGTTCATTTTTTGACTGTATCCTTTGGTATAGATGGTTGTGCCAATTTTCTTCCACTATTTGATCTG